CCCCACCCTACCTTACCCTACTCTAACCCATCATTAACCACCATCCTACCACTGTAGTCATCACAACTATCACATTGCCATCTATTGCCCCACTCTGGCTTCAAACCCACTGCCTCGCCCCACCCCTGCCTGCCCGCAACAATCCCCACCTGTGGAGCAGGGTAGGGCAGAAGTGGTGGGGGAAGGGCGGGTGATAGTTGTGACGACGACATTAGTGACATGGTGGCTGGTAGGGTGTGTGGCGGGGCGATGGATGGGATAGTCCATACAAAGATGATTGTTCCAATTCTATTGAGAGATTTCATTCCAATTCCTACCAACCAAACACATGGTCAAATTCCATCAAATTCTATTCCAATTCCTTGAAAATCAAATTCCTTTGATGGGTTCCAATTCCATCAAATTCCATTCTGTGAACCAAACACCCCCTAAGGGTTAGGTTTCCTCTATGGTGATTACACCGGGTGCTAGCCCAAAGCCCCTAGATCTATATATGTTTTACAGAAAAGAAAATATTTCTTTTCTATACTTTATCTAATAGCTAAATCTAAAAGATTTAATCAACTAAAATTGATTTAGCCTATCAACTTATTTATATTGTCTGAATTATAGATAAACTATAATACAAAATAAGGATTAGTTATTATCTTTAACATATATATATATATATATGCACATATATATATACAAACACACACACATATATATATATATATAATTATCTTAAAATTTAATATAATTATACACGTTTACAGATTACACCTTGTAATTATCATAATTACACTTTAACACATATTTATTATCCTCCAAGAATAATTATTTCAATGATTGAACATGATTTAACTAGGGTTTCTACTAATGGAGGCAAATGTATTCTTTGTGTGTAACCCTATACGTTTACATACTCCTTGACAGTATTTTTCGTGGGACAAGTGTCATGGCCATGTAATAACTTGCATTATTTTAATTTCTTTTTAATGTTATACTATTGTCCTGATTTTTTTTCTTTTGTAATCCTTAATTGTTATCTTTTGGTGGGAGTGGGGGGATAGCAAGTCTATAGGGAAATTAGTTAGTTCCTTTTGCATACTCGCCACCCGGTCACTTGGTAAACTTTGCATGAAGGGTTTACATTGAAGTGATTTACATAGGGAAGTGTCAGGTTGAACTTGAGTGGGTGGAAGCTCGAGAGGTTTACATTTAAGTGATTTAGAGTCTTATTCATTTTTTATATGAAGGGTGTTTTAGACTTGAAATCACATTCTTCAAAGAAAGCATATCACTTTATGGTAGAAGCAATTGTTTACAAGATTCACCGTCTTACTGGATGTAATTGTTTATATCCTTGCAAGTTTATATTGGTTACTTGTGTCTTGTTTCTAAGTTTGAGTCCACACCCAAGTTGTTAGTCTAGAGGTTTAAGTGCGACTTTTATGGTCCAATTTCTTTGGAATCGATCAATCAAACAACACCTTATATTTTTATCTTATTTTTTCATTATAGTCTATATAGAATAAATTATTCACTACTTTGTTTCTTTTTTATTTAGTTCTATAGTTGAATGGTGGGATAACTTTAGAGATGAAGTGCCACAACTAAAATCATTTGCAACATGAATTCGAAGTCTATTTGTATGACATCAGCATGTTAACGTAATTGAAGTACATTCAATCAAGTGCACACGAAGAGAAATAATGACCTAAGCATAGATAAGATGAATAGTTTGATGTACATTATATACATCAAGAACTTGAAGCACAATTATCTCAAGAAAAGGTCTCTAAAAGAGGAAGATGATCATTTGATTATTGAAAATGTGTCTTCTAGTGATGAATGGATAACCAAACCAAATGATGATGAAGATTACAATGATAGAGCAACTGAAGTTGGCCGGGCAAGTAAGGGATGAAGGCGAAAGTTTAGCATCAAGAAAGAGGAAAGAAAATCAAGTGAATTTAGACGAGGAAGATGAATTTGGGGAGGCGATGACAGTTCTTATGGAGATGATGGTCAAGCTATGAAATTTGATTACTTCCCCAAAAATGATGACATTTGTAGATTTATAATTTATATTTTTGAAGACTTGTAACTAGTAATTTTAATAGTTTGATATGGAATTATCTGTTATGAGTTTTATGATCTGTAAACCTTTTTTTATTGTTGATGCACGCCTTGAAGCATATGTCTTGTGGTATGTTTTCCTCTTTTAAAATCTTGGTGTGTGGTTATGATTTATGAAGCTGCTGACAGACAAGTGTCGTGCCAATCGGCCACCAGCAGTAGCTTTTTGCTGTCAGATGCACAACATTAAGGGGTTAGGCCTTTATTTTCAAATTTTATGCTATAGTGCCATGTAGAGATAAGGGTACAAGTGTTTCTTTTATGAGGGAGAAAACTGTTTGAGTACAGTATATCTAGTGGACTCGTGGACCTAAAACAATAATAAAGAAAAACCTAGGCAACAAAAAAATAAAGGTAACTAACATAATCATAGTGGAAAGCCTAGTATACTAACAGTAAATGTTTGAGTCGTGAACTTATGGTCTGCCTATTCATATGTTTGGACTCTTTAATTTGATTTCTTTAGATTTCCAATATCTTGTTAAAACCTTTATAAACAAAACGTACTATTGTGAACTCACAGGTTCTGGTGCAAATGGTGCTATTATACATTATAGAGCAGAACCAGATAGCTGTAGCATTGTGGATGCACATAAACTCTTTCTACTAGACAGTGGGGCTCAGTATCTTGACGGGACAACTGATGTAACCCGGACAGTACATTTTGGTGAACCTTCTGAACGACAAAAAGAATGCTTCACCCGAGTTCTTCAGGTGCTAATTTTTGTTGTCCTTTCATGTCTATTTTTTTATTCTAAGAGTCCCAGAAAAGAGTTCAGATCTGATTGGAAGTTCATCCCAGTTCTTCTAGAATTAAATTTGATCCATTTTTGTTTTTAAAATTTATTATTATTGCCTTTTTGCATGAATGGAACTGTTTTTTGAACAAAATCTAACATTACGATGACCTATTTGAAGCTCAAAATCAAATATGGTGTTCTTTTTACATGAGATGGTGTGGATCTTTTTTTTTTTTTTCCTTTTTTAGTTCGTATATATCATGAGATATAAATTAAAGTACATCTAATTAGAGGGATAATTTACTTTTAGTAAGTTTACAGTTGACCTGTTTGTTTTTGATATGTTAATACTGAATGCATTAATAACTTTCATTCTGCTGCCGCTCTGGTTTTCTATAATGCGGAATGTTGTTTTTGGAAGATAGTGTTGGTGTGAAAGCTGCCACCCTTCCTTCTGTAATACTATAGGCTACTTGAAGATCATCTACAACGTAAACAGCAAAGTATCACCTAGAAGAATATGTTATACTCATTAAACTCCATCTTCTCCACCATTCTTACTCTTCTTTAGTAACTCAAAACAAGAAGATAAATTGTCTGCCTTTTCTTTTAAACATAAATAAGGGGATGAATTGGATTTCTTAGATTATAACTAAGACAAGGAAAATATAAGAGTGCATTGTTCAAAGAGCCAATAGATGAGAACCATAGACTCATGTGCATGTGTTTATATTCACATGAATACAATTCTTTGATTGCATAAAAGAACTCTTCAGCATGAATGTGGGCTAAATCAACAAACTCCAAAAGTATAACTGAAATTACCAAATGACTGAAGGAATTCATCATTGAAACTAAAGAGTTTTCTGGCTTTTCGAGAGGCCAAAGCTCTCCTAAAAAAACACTCTTAGGGCCTGTTTACCAAAATTTCCCTTAAGTTCTGTATGGATAAATTTGTCTGTCTAGATAAATTTGTCTGTCTAGATAAAAGTTTATTGTYGTTTACTWTTTTAYCTGAATCAATCGTCTAAATGACAATAATGACCAATCTACCCCTCAAACTCAAACCAAAAATCTGCTGTTCATCAAACCAAAAATCCAAAACCGATTTGATCAAAAAAGATGCTCGATGGGGGCCTGTCTTATGGAACCCAGATGATGATTTCCCAAAATCTGTTGGATCAATATAGTAAAGTAGAAAATCTGTTGGAGAAGACGATTTGCTCCAACCAGACATGAAATCTCCGGGGAAGATAATGGGCTCCCAAAATCTGTTGAAGAAGCCGATGGGCTCCAACCAGGCATGAAAACTCTAGGGAAGACGATGGGCTCCAACCTGTTGGAGAAGACGATGGCTCCCAAAAGCTGTTGGAGAAGACGATGGCTCCCAAAAGCTCCGGGGAAGACGGTGAGACTCGAACCAGTCCCAGACCAGAAATCGCCGGAGAAGACGATGAGAGTCCCTCCCGTCGAACAGGAAAACGTTCCCTGAAGTTGGAAACTCTACCTCTTTTGCATCGATCTAGTTCTCTCTCACACTCCATTCGTTGCTCTCTATCTCTCGTCTAGGGTTGTGAAATGAAAGAGGGGGTGGGATTGAAAGGGGAGGCGTGGGATGAGGGGTATAATTGTCAATATTTTGGCTTAATGGGGACAACACACCCCTTCCCTACTGTGCGAATAAGCCAACATATTTATCATTAAGCCGCAAGTAAACATCCATATATGGCTGTGCGAATAAGCCAAAACAACCATTAAGCTGATTAAGTCAAAAGTAAACACCCCCTTACTATTTTTCTCGATGCCTCCCTCACTCCGCCACACCCTCTTTTTATTAACAGACATAACAAACTTGGTGGAAAAAAAAAATACTAAAACTACCCATTCTAGAATATATATCTTACTAATGGGCATGGGCATGGGCTTGGATCAGTGCATAATAGAATGTTACATTTACCTGAATTAGCTTCTAACTTTCCAGGCCTTATTAGGGTCAAGTCTTTGAGCTCCACAGTAGCGGTTGTGTTTGTTTGAATGATAACAATTATAAAAGCTTAATAAATCATCTTGTTAGTATGAACATGCTAAATATTTTATATTGACATTCTGAAACACGACTTACAAGTTAGGTGCAGGAAGGATCTCAATCTTGTACATGTAAGCAATCAGGGTTTTATATATTGAGGCATGCAGCATAAAAGCAAAACAATAGGTAATGTAGGGAAAAATCTAGAAGAGACTTTGCAAAAATAATCAAGGAGAGGAAAAGCACAAAAGAGGTGATGAGAGAAAGAGAAGGTACCAAGAACTCTACTGAACTTGTTATTCAATCCACCGCACTTTATGGAATTACATCCCTATGCGTAGTAGAGATGAGGCTAATGTAATGATAATGTTCTTCAAAGAGAAGGCAGAAGGGAGGGGGATTTGAACTCATGACCTCCAAGTAGAGATGAGGCTAATGTAATGATAATGTTTCAACTTTTAAGCATACACCCGAGTCCCTGAGATTAGAAAGTATGGTATTGGAAAAATCAATTAGATTTCATGCCTGGGATATTAACGACTGTTATATTTTATTTTAAAAATAAGAAAAGGGTTAACATGTGGTGCTTGTTGATCTATGGAAGATATGTTATAGAGTGGCAAGGGAAGTTATTTGTAGTCAACTCTTAAGTAAAAGAACGTAAATACTAGTAAGATTTGGAACCAAAAATGTACAATAATGGCGTATTTTGCATGACTGCAGAATTGCTGTGTTTTCCTTATTACAGAAAGTGTCAACATAAAATATTATCTTGTCTGATTAGTGTTAGAATATAAATATTGTATTTATTTGTTTAGGCCAAGTTAGCCCGTGGACCCTCTCTTTCCTAGGTTTCTTGTCTATATATGTCCTTATACCCTTTCGTTGTAATACACAAGTTGAAGCAATAATATAGTCTCTGATTACAATTAGGTAATGAGTGAGCTGCCAAATAAGAATATTGAGATGAATGGGTTGCCATATAAAATTGGATAGGAATGGAAAACTAAAGGTTGGGGAGGCAGCCCTGCTTGAGATGGTATGGTCATCTTCATTGTTGACCTAGGATGCCCTTTGCGAAGGGAGGCTTATACCATGTGGTCTTTAGGGAAGGCTAATAATATGGAAAGCAATTAAGAGAGATTTGAATGAATGAAGTATATGGAAGGACATAGAAGGATGCTACATTTCTATGAACAGGGCAATGGGATTGTACATTCTCCTAAAAGTTTCCGATGGTTTTTATTTTAGTGTACCTCAAATAGTTTTAGTTAAAAGGCTTCTGTATATGCTGTGTGACATGAAATATCGTATGCTCTGGCCGAATACTAATACTGGGATCCCGTTATAATGCAAGAACTTCCAATCAGCTGAAGTTACTGTATCAACAGTTATTTACTTTTGTTAGGTGTGATGTTTGGCTGTATGCAGTAGCATACTTTTGTTGCAGATGGAGATAATCTCTACTACAATCCATTTGTTCAGCATTATACAGATTATGGGTTTCAAGCTAAATATGTATACAAAAAAATTGCAGGGCCATATAGCTCTCGATCAAGCAGTGTTTCCAGAAAATACCCCAGGTTTTGTGCTGGATGCATTTGCGCGTTCTTCCCTTTGGAAGGTTGGACTTGATTACCGGCATGGTAATTTCTTCTACACTATACTTATTTTATGTATAGAGTTATTTTCTTTTCCACATGATGTAATCAAATGCATGTAATGTTTATTAATTGATTTTCTCTTCAATGGATAAGGAACCGGGCATGGGGTAGGAGCTGCACTGAATGTTCATGAAGGTCCACAAAGTATAAGCTTCCGATTTGGCAATATGACTCCCATGCTCAAAGGCATGATTGTCAGCAATGAACCAGGCTATTATGAGGACCATGCCTTTGGTATTCGAATTGAGGTATTTGCACCTGTTTGGGACTGTATGGGAAAGCTATTCCAAAAAAATGTTTTTTTTTTTTGCATACATGAGTTCAACCCTAAATATATTCATCATCTATATGTATTTTTTTAAATTTATTTGCCTGCTCCCAGAGATGGTAATTTTGTATAAATATACAAGAATGTTATTCTTTTTGGGTAAAGCTCTATTGATGTTGAGTAAGTACCTTGGTTTTTATTGAAGTGTTCTATTTGGGAACCGTTGTGTTAAATATTGTGTTTGCTGTTTAAACTACTTCAGAACAACCATAACTTGACTCCGTTCAATTATCACTTAGAAGCAATGATTCACTTAGCTGCAGTTGTTGTGGATCTCACACTTTTTTTTACCATACAGTCCAAGAAATGGTTCTTTTCCTTTTCAAGCTAAACTTCTTGTTGTTTAAAGTACAACTAGAATTGTTCTGTTGGCACAAACTTTTAGACACCACCTGAAGGAAAAGGTAGCAGTTAAAAGGTATAATGAGATTCTATTCTATTCAGGTCAGTGGGAACAGACATGTTTCCACCCTTCTCAGCTCTTACATACTTGGTTTAAGAAAACGATGAATTTCATGAGGTGGCGAACCAACAGAAAAATAATTGAAACCATCTTGTAGATAGCTGAGAGAGAAAATCTGACTATGAAGTGTTTTACTCTAGCAGAAGAATCTAACGGCCCTAATTGTGTAGTTGCTATCATATTTCAGTTGTTTGTTCTACTAGTCAAATATCTAAAGTGCATGCAGAATTTCATTGCTGCTTCTGTAGACTGATTATCATAGGCAATGCCATTTTGGCATGACTGGATGAACTCTTAGTCTTATCTTTGTTTTCAAATGCAACTACTGTAGTAGTTATCTTATTATCCATTGTAGCTTATGTTTAAGAGTAACAAAAAATTAATGTATGCATTTTTAATAGATTGTAGTAATGCTTTTGGTATGTCATGCAGAATCTTTTATTCGTCAAAGAGATTGATACTCCTAATCATTTTGGAGGAATTACATATATTGGATTCGAGAAGCTTACTTTTGTCCCTATACAGGTATGCTAACTTATATTTCGTAGCTTGTGTAAATCGTGTAGTTCTCAAATGATTTTGACAGCATATTGTAGAGTTCTTTGCTGTGCTTAAGAAAATAAGTTTATGATCAACTTTGCATGACACTGTGCGCTTGACATGATTTATTAAGATTTCAAGCATCATATGCAAATGACAACATGGTCTTGGTCCAGAAAGTGGTTATAACTTTGTAAAAGAAACTCGTTTGTTAGTTAGGAAAAACACTATCTTATATGTACAAACTAGGACGCAAAATTATTCATCCTAAGACCTCATTTCTCCATGGTCTTTCCTCCAACTCTATTGAAGTAATCATTGTGAAAAGTTAACATGGATAGTAATTAGTAACATACGAAAAGGACGAGCTGTCATCATGAATACCTTTGTTAGGATGATTGTGGTGGCTTGAAGTTATCTAAAGATTGTAGGGAATATATGTAATTTGGTAAACGGATGGTGAGCTTTGGAGCAACCTTGCTTAAAGAATGCCCAAGTGTGATAGGAAGAAATAGGTGCTTATGATAAATTAAAACAAAAAAGGAAATAGTTGCTTAAGCTGGAGGCAGTCTCTCCACTCTCCAGAAGGATTTGCTGTTTCAAAAACATTTTTGCATGCTTAACTCCAAAAACATTTTTGCGGCATTTGCTGTTCACAGTGTATCACATCAAGCCCAAGTAACAAATTTTGTCTTCCTTTTCTCTCTTCTTGTTCCTGGATAGGCATATGCTAGAGATTAGTTCTTAAACTTTTCATGTGATTTTTGTGATTTAGTTCAATTCATACTAATGCCAGTTTCATCTTGTAGACTAAATTGGTTGACTTAAGCTTGCTCTCTGCTGCTGAGATTGATTGGCTCAATGATTACCATTCACAAGTTTGGGAGAAGGTAAATATCCATATAATATCTGTCATTTATAAAATAAAAATTAATGATAATGATGACAACATTATTGCTACTTTTGCTATCATTATCAATACTATAGTCTGTATTTTGTTCTGCTGAGAGGACTTATGGTGAGGTAGAATTAACCGTTATTTTTGTTTCAACTTCTAACATGAGATAACAAATATACGACATTACTTGAAATGATGAACAATCCGAAGATTCTACTCCTTTGGTGGCCACATTGTTTGACTTTTAGGACATTCTTTGACCGTATCAAAAGTCTAAAGTACCGTTGAAGACATTATGGTGAAAGTACAATTGGATTTTTAGTCATGCTCGTGGAAGCATTGGCTTGTTTAACCCAACTCGTACCAAAATTTGGGATCATGTGAGATTAGCCTGTTTTTGTGAGACCCATGAGACCATGTTTTAACATTTGAAACTTCACAGTAAAACACTGTGAAGCTAACCTTCAGAGTGTTTTTGCTGTGAAGGTTCGGATTTTTTTACCTTCACAATGTTTTGCTGTGAAGTTTCAAGTGTAAAAATGTGGTCTCACAATTATGGCAACGTTTATTTATGTTTTTACATTAAACATGAAATATTGAATACTTGGTATATTGAAACCAATAAACAATATTTTACTCGTCCCATAACTGTGATTTTTGAGTGCCCACATGGTTTTACAGAATATATGATCCAAATGGGCCTCTGATAAAGATGTTGAACAATGGCAAAAAGATTCTACCACTTGTACTTGGAGTAGTTTGATTCTAGTTTTTGCTATTTGTTTGCATATTTACTTAGTTTGATTCTAGTTTTTGCTATTTGTTTGGATATTTATTTTGATTTCATACAGGTTTCATCATTGGTGGACGGGTCTGCACGTGAGTGGCTTTGGAATAACACACGTCCAGTTGCAAAACCATGATCCGTTGTGCTGTTGCCTTTCTACGTGGGTATACAATAAGGGTTGTGTCGTATGTCATCTGTATATAGAACATGGTACTTGTGAACCCTTCATGGTCGTTGTGGACTTGCTATGCAAGATTCTGTGTACAAATACAAATTCAGTCGATAATCAAAACAGATTTATTCTACTTGTTTGCTCACACTCTTGCATAGGTCGGAGGTAAGGTATTCATGGAAACAACCAAACGACTTATTGGGGGTACACTTTCTGGTGGGATTTGTTGGGTTAATTTAGTTCGGTTGGTTATTGATAGTCAGCCGGATGGAGTATTTCAACAATGACTAGACCAAACCAAACGAACTTGACCGCTGTGCTGGTATATCAGCTGGAGGCATAACATGCTCTGTTTATTACTAACTATTTCAAATGATATTTTTATTAACATAACCTTTTGACAAGTCTAGTGGTGGCATATGTCAAAAGGTTACGGATTTAAAAGATGTTAGAAGGTTGTTCAACCAACAGAACCGACTTGGTTATTTCGTCTTTGGACGGGACCGGTCCTTTGTTATTATATTTTGTTTCTTTTATCAAGTTATGAAACACTTGATAAAAGTTACTTGAAGCACATTTTAAGATCCTAAATGGGTGGGTGAGCCCTCTGATCCAAACTAGGACTAGTTACATTTTTGACAGGATTGGTTATGACCATTCAAATGAGAATCAACACATACCTTTATATGTATCTGTTGTGGAAATAAGAGTTTTGAGGAGAATGGTAAAACCATTTTTGAGATTTTGGATTACTTGATTATGGATCTGACATTTAAAAAATTGCAAACCTGCAACTGACAGATGACAAAAAGCATAGACCTTCATCTTCATCTTACCTCACTTTTGTCACCTGCACGAACTTTTATGTATCTTTAAGCACCTTCACATTAACATGAATAAATTAGTTAAAATTTTAGCAATGATTATAAAAACAGGTAAATAAAAGTTATATTTTCATGTTTTCACAAAAAAAAAAATCATTTTTGCTAGAACCCAACCTTGATGCATCAGTACGTATATTCATTTTCACAGTTTTCTTCCAAGTATTTATGGCTCTCATTTGAAACTCCTCTATAACCAACACATCTCTTTCATATATGGTATTTTATATGATCATTTAAGGATGTTAAAATTAACTGGTTGGGACCAACATAAATTTTATAAATAAAAAAGTGTCGTGCCATTTGCACATTGGTCGACAGATTAGGTCTTGATGCCTAGTTATATTTGTCCACCTCAGTGACATATCTTGAATTGGGGTCCGATTAAAGAAGCTAGACTGTAAGGGCAAACTTAGTTAAGAGCATATAATGGCACGTGCCACTACTTCATGGCTCCGCTATGATAGAAGAGACATTACGTTTCTGATAGATGTCATCGTATTGTTTCGTTGGATGCCCTTGAATTTTTGAAACTACAGTAATACATGTTCATCATGATGGTTAACATGTTGCTCCTTTGTCTAAAGGGCGTAGGTTTGAGTCCTGTATGTCTTACTTTTTAGATTAAATTATGTGTTATTTTTATAGCTTTTGTCTTCTAAAAAAAGTTTGAAGACAAGACTTTTGCAAGAACACAGTTTCTTTTTTAAGCAATGACAAATGACCAACTAATATATTTGTAACAATTTTATGAAAGATTTCTACAGTTTTTTTTCTTCTTATAGTTAAATAGTGTATTTGAAACCTTTCTAGGTTCGTCTCAGCAAGACCAGTTACGTGATGGAATCTTTTGACCAAGAACAATTACAGTCGGTTAGGAGATCGGTCTAACCAATCCAACTTGATCTAACCTTAAGGTTTCACTGGTTTGTAAATTAGACAAACCGATGAGAATAGGGTTGGTTATGGTTAGGCCCGTCTCGGATCGAAGTAACCTATCAAACTAGACAAAATTATTCTCTACTAAAAAAATCCTATTATTAATACATAAATAAACATTATAATATATATATATATATATATATATATATATTATAATAGACTAGTATATTATATATAGATACAAAAAAAATCTTGTGAAATTATATATATCAGTAGTGGGTTGGGTTGGGTTGAATTGAGCTAGGCTAACCCAATTTCAACCCTCCTAATCGGCGGTTTAACAGGTTGGGTTTAAGTAAGTTGTTAGCAGATAGGGTTAAACGAGTTGAACGGTTTGACGGTTTTTTTTACACCCTTGGGGCAAAACACATTATTTAAAATTCAAAATTTCATGTTAATGATGCACTGATACCTGATTTAATATAACTAATGGATAGAAATAATCAAATACTGAAAAACATGTTTTATATTTGAACGTATATAACCAACCGATAAATATAATCAAATATATGATGATCACCTCATTTTATATTTAAATTATTCAAATATAATTAATTTTTTAACCAAACAAATTATATAAAAAAATAAATATTTTATTCCATTTAATAATATACTCATATTGATGTATATAGGAAGAGGTTTATAAAAAGTGGTAAATATTTGAAAAATAAAAAGTGATCATAACTCTTCATCCGGGTAAGATTGTTTAAGAATTGCAAATTTGATTGGTTAAAGATTGCGGCTTGGACTGGTTAAACAAAAAATAGAGGGATGGTTTTATAACTTTTACAAATAAGCGACAAACAAGAGCATATGTGAATCAGTTAATTAGTTCATACGCAAATTAGTTAATTAGTTCATATGTGAATCAGTTAAATAGTTCATATGTGAATTATACGGGTTCACATATGACCATATAATTTATATGTGAATCACACGAGTTCACATATAAAATTGTTTTGCCGTCTATTTATAAAAGTTACGAAATCACCCATTTTTCTTGCGCATATCATGCAGGGAATTATCCGGTGCTTCATAGTTAAAGCCGCAAATCTTGACCATATGAAGGGCTAGTATCACTTTTCTACTTCTCAAATACTTATCACTTCTCAAATGAATCTATGGCATGTATATATATATATATATATATATATATATATATATATATATATCTTTCAATCTTTCACCCGGTTTTCAAATTTTCAATCACAAGTATATTAATACAACATTTTTATTATATTATACAACTTAATCACATACATACAACTTATCAGTACATTTGGACTTTTATAGTCATAACTAACTCATTAACATGTTTACATATATAATAAACGTTAATAGGTTTTATGGAGCTGCATAAAACTGATTTGTGCCCTAATTTATTTATTAAAACGGTAAAATACTCCATAAAATCTGATAAAAGACTGACGCTCATTTAAAACCATACAAATTAATAATATAAAATCAAAAGGGACGAAATAAAGATGTATTAGTTGCATTGCACATTACACTTCTAATTTAATAAAATAAGTTATCATTCTAAAACATTATATAATTTACAAAACGTGATTGATTAACTGTTACGATAACTTTAAAGAGGACTAATTTTCATGATAAAATAGTTTCTAAAACAAATCCAAGATTTAACTGGTCTTTTATATATACACAAAAACATTTAGCGGTCGATTTTTATGATAATAACATCTAAAAAAAATATTAACACATTTCAAAATTTGTTTGAGCTTGTACTCCAAAAGTCAAACCTTGAAATGTCTCTAAGGGATTTGAACCAATAATCAGTAGGAACCAAACTCAAGATTTTATCAGTTGAGCTACCACTCGGGATTGATACACTACTAAAAAATCTGGTTTTTCCGACGGCAAAATCCGTCGGAAAAACAACTTTCCGACAGAATCTGTATTTTCTGACGAAAAGATCCGCCAGAAATCCTTTTTCATTGTAACTGAAGTACTTGATGTATTCGTGTGGATGGTTTGTGATATCGTCTTTCTTCACCATGTTCCAAAATTATGATGTGAATGCAATTATGGTTTTTGATTGTTCACTGTTTTGTTCTTATCTCAACCACTTTCAAAATATGATGGTTTCAACATGTTTCTTAACTTTAATGAGTGTCGATTAGGAATATTATATAATTAATTAACATTTACAAAAGATTAGCTCATCGAAAAAGAGTACAATGAGATACAATGGATATATACGAGCTTCATCTACACTTGTTTTGATAGATGCTTCACGATTATCAGTTGACTTCGATAAACATGAATGATATCTATAAATCGAGGACAGATAGGTGGTCAACCCAACAAATAAACGGACGCTTTTAACCCCTGTTGAAAAGAAGATGAAGAAAAATCAGGTTCAGAAAACAATAGAAGTTACGTCTTGGATATGTAGTGCTTTATGATGTTTAAGTGATGGGCATGTAAGTTACGATAACATATCGTTGTTGTTGAGCTAAGATGGATAAACTTGATGTTCACGAGATTGAAAAATGTTATTTAAACGAAAGGAAAACCAATAAAAAAATGACCAAAGTGCCCTTTTGATGGGTCATGAAATAAAATAAACGACTATCATTAAGACAAACAAAGTACATCGTTTAAGGATAAAATTATAATAACAGACCACAACAACGAAAACGATAATTTTATATTATTTGAAAACTAAGAAATCTTTTTCATATCAATAACTTGTGGGTTAAGTCCAAAATTAACCTAAAGATTTTTTTATGTCTTTTTATATAATTTAAACTATAAACATGACCACAACTAATTATAAAATAAGAAATATATATATATATATATATATATATATATATATATATATTGTGGTGGAGGTTCAAATGAGAACACCTCCATTTTACGAGAATGCGAGAACACCCTTATCACATGTGATAATACTCGTGAGGGACCTGTTGTGCGGACGACGTGTTCTACGACTTAGGCCGCACCAAAGGTTGTCTGCTTCTATGATTTAGCATCACATGTAATGGTCTTGATGGATTATGATATCATATCAACAACAAACAAATGTTCAGTAAACGGCCCCTAAGTTCAAGCAAATGTCGGCCTAATCTATCAACAATAGTTATAGTAATTCTGATAAACATTGTTGTTTTGACATAACATTCATGTTTTAGCACACGTGGTCAATATATCGGCACATCATCAACTAGAAAAGAAGCAAAACGTTGGGGCAAACTCTTCTTTAGAGTCAAGGTCGTTGTTTGTGATATAAATTTTATACCGTCGTTTTGTGTTTGTGTATTCTATATGAAATCATGTATATGTGTTACTA